TCAGATTGTTGTGTCTTTGGTTTTTCTTTTGTCTCTGGCACACTTTTGGAAACATCAACATTGGCATTATGATAGATAACATCTATCTATCTATCTATCTATCTATCTATCTATCTATCTATCTATCTATCTATCTATCTATCTATCTATCTATCTATCTATCTATACAATAGTTTTTGCAGCTACAGTGGTACAAGTTTTATGATTTAGGAGGCCGGTTACTACACACGTTTCACCTCAATTGTTTCCCTCATTTCTCAATTCTCTCAGGAGTTAACCGAAGCCCAGGCTGAGTTCAACGAACAACGAGAGAGTATGATTGGCTGATTTTGCAAAGGAAGTGACGTCACTGCGCTGGGAGCTCTTCCTGTTTCGCGGCTGCTCTTCAAAAAGGCATCCTCGTTCAAATGTTGTGTGCATAAGGTTATAATGATTATGAGATTTGTACAAAGATGAGAGAGTCAAAAGATTATAGTACATTCCCAAAGGTCTAATAAAGTTATTAAAAAAATAACCATATAAAAAAAGCGAATAAGGGTATTGATTTGGTTACTTACTAATTAATGTGCTGAAGAGACAGGGATAATGGAACAGCAACAAGCTACGGAATTATGCATTTTACAAATTCACTACACAAATGAGAGCTGTGCTAACAAAATGAGTTACTTCTTGCAATCCACAAATCGATATATTGGCCAAAAATGGACACTAGAGTCAAATTGGTAACATTAAAACAATTGATGCCATATTCTTTAAATGCCTTTATTATGTTATAATGAATGTAAATGGTAAAAACTTCACCTATTAGCATGACGCATTTATTTCCATTAGGCTCGAATCCGAGACGTATCTCATTTTGTCAGCACGTTTCATAAATAGACGGAAATAACGTGGCGGACCACTCGAAGCAAAACGCGAAGCAAGAATAAATAATTTTATAATGAATGTGAATTAAACAAACTTCACCTATTAGGGTGGTGTATTTATTTCCATAAGGCTCGAACCTGAGACGTATCTCATTTTGTCAGCACTTTTCATAAATAGACGGAGATAACGTGGTGGACCACTCGAAGCAAAACGTGTTGCAAGAATATGGACACATGGAGACAGAAAGTTGAAACTAGAGTAAATAGGGAAGATGTAAGACAGAAAGAAGACATAAGAAAGAAGGGAATTTTTTTTAAAGAAAGTAGAGTCTTGGGTGAATGGATAAGAAGGAAGACAGAAAGTAGAGGTATGAAAGACAAAAATTCAGAAAGTAGCGACACGGATGGAGAAAAAAAAAAGAAATACATAAAGAAAATGATGAAGAAAATGGAAAAACGAAGAGACATGAACTAAACAACGAAAGAAGACAATGAGGAAAAATAAAGACAGAAAAGAAGTTTTTGCAGCTACAGTGGTACACGTTTGATGATTTAGGAGGCCGGTTACTTCCCCTGGTCTGAGTGTCATATAGCATCCCAACAGACAAAGGAAAAATATAGATATTTGATGAAAGTAAGACACACCCTCAATGTTCCCGCGGTAATCGAACACGAGTCGCCAGCATGAACCGACGAAGAGCCTAATTACAATGTATTTCAAGACAAACGCAACTTCTCTTTCTGTGTTTCGGTCACTTGGTTGGTTTCGATAATAGTAGGGTTCCCAGCTCCTGCCAGACCAGCTACCCCCCCCCCCCCCCTAAAAAAGAAACAATTAAAAAACAAACACACCAAACAAACAAAAACAAAACAACACAACACAAAAGGAGGAAAAATGGTGAAATGGTATGAGTTTAACGCCCCTATCAACACTATTAGGTTATTAAAGATGCGGGACCTCCTAATTTAACGTCCGTCTCCAATAGTACCGAGCCAAGTGGGAAGTTCAAAAGGAGGAAAGAAAAGTGGTTAAAATATTAGAAAGAAAATAAATGGTCGCTTTTAAGGACAAGCGGGCTATCCCGAAAAAAGGCTGTTTTGAGAAAATCAAAGTTAAAGTTTTGGGATTCTTATTCAGTACCTTTAAAAGACAAGGAGGGTTTTGTTTATACACAAATATACACACCAATGAAACCAAACTTCTCCTATAGGTAGGGCAAAGCCAACTTTTGGTGTAGGTAAAGATTTCTGGAAACTCCCAAAATCTGGGTTAGCCCGCTTGTCCTTAAAACGACCAAATAAAGACAGCCACAGACTTCATGGACACAATTCGAATCATTCAGGAAGCTGGCTGCTTTGAACTTGCATGTCAGGACCAACTCAATCTACCTGGAAAAAGCACACAGCTGCCATCGTACTGGAGTAGCTCAGTCACCGTTGTACGGCTGTATGGATGGTCCTGGTTTGTTTGATCTCCAAATTAATGCAGTATTCTTAATCTTGTTTAGTTTGGCTGTTTTTTTAGATTCTTTAACCCCTCAGTCATATCGCAAATAGGCTTCTAATTTGAATGGTTTTATCTGGTAAATGACGTAATAAAGGAGTATTACACCTGCAACAGACAAAATCCGGTCACAAACCAACAACAGGAGTGAACATTAAATAATTTAGGGGACGGTACATTGCGTCACTTGAAACAAACTTCGTAACAGGACATTATACAACACTTTCCATACTTGAAAATACTCGAGAGCGGTGCAGAAATGATACTCAGGTACACTGAAACAGCAACGTCTTCTCACTGCAAAAGCAATACGGTCAACTGGAGCATGTCTAAGGCTGCTGGCTTTATATTCCCTACCGCTCCTCCCTTATATTCCCTACCGCTCCTCCCTTATATTCCCTACCGCTCCTCCCTTATATTCCCTACCGCTCCTCCCTTATATTCCCTACCGCTCCTCCCTTATATTCCCTACCGCTCCTCCCTTATATTCCCTACCGCTCCTCCCACCGCTCCTCCCTTATATTCCCTACCGCTCCTCCCTTATATTCCCTACCTCTCCTCCCTTATATTCCCTACCGCTCCTCCCACCGCTCTTCCCTTATATTCCCTACCGCTCCTCCCTTATATTCCCTACCTCTCCTCCATTATATTCCCTACCGCTCCTCCCACCGCTCCTCCCTTATATTCCCTACCGCTCCTCCCTTAATTCCCTACCGCTCCCCTCTTTGTCCCTACCGATTGTTTCCGTCTCTCTAGGTGTGAAACAATATGGCCGTAAGTGTGAAACGACACTGGAACGGTCTTTGTTGTGATGATTAACCTTTCCATTCACTCCTGTTGACCAGTGTTCCCAACAGATGGGCGTCTTTGGACACATTATGACACAATAGCGGTCTTCGGCTCATCAGGACTCCATTGTGACTGCAGTGCGATTGGTAAAAATACAAAAAACAACATACTGAAGACTTTCAAAAAGCGATAAACGTCTGGAGCGACGCATTCTCTATGTAATGAACTACCATTTGTGGACGTTAAAATTGAAGTCCCGATATCACTTGCCAATAAAAAAAACGGACAATCCACAAAGAGATAGAGATACTGCGCACATACCGAAACCATGATAAAAAAAAGTCATTGGAAGAAAATTAAATACAAGCGTTAAGAATTGCATTTTTAGCTCCATCTCCTGAGAAAATGGACTTGGAATTTCACAGAAAACGTATCCTCGACTTTGGTGCTCCATTCATTCATTTGTCCGGATTCAAATGGACCTGAAGGCCTTAACTTAAAATATCTTGCTCTCTATCGGGATATAGAATAGAAAAGAGGCAGAAGCTGATAAAGAATAATTTAGTTTTTAAAAACTTGGACATATGGGTGATGAGGAAAGCTATCACAATAATACATACTTCTTGAGACAAACAAGAGTCAGCAAAATACACTATTTTCATCAAGGCAATTTTCTCTGTCTTTAAGAAAGAAAATAGTGGAGTGCTACATTATCTTCCCCATATTCCTATACGGTGCAGAGACCTGGACTTTATAACAAAGAAACAATATAGCAAAATAAATGAGTTTGAGATGTGGCGCTACCGCAGAATGGCCAGACTTATCTGGAAAGCAAACGATAATGAGGTGTGTCAGATTTCTCTAGTGGCCTAGAGGTTAAGGTCTTTGCCTCTCATTCAAAGGTCCCGGGTTCGAATCCGAGTAGCGACCGAAAAATTGTCTTCTCTAAAATCGTCTCCTTTCACCTCCTTTCCTGCTCTCTAGCAATGTTCTGTTGTCTGCTTTCGTTTCCTCTTTCTGCCCCCACCCCCTCACCTCCTTTGCCCCCTCCTCTGGGCTCCGGACTCTTTCTGCAGCCTTTCTACTGCTACTCCTTGGCTCCTTCTTACTGCTGTCTTTCTGCCACACCCCTGATCTTCTGGTAGGAAAGATCTACACCTAGACTTCTTGGAGAAGGGCAATAAATCTCAGCGGGCCCTGGTGCAAGTTGCGCACGTTAAAGATCCCTTGATGGTCTAAAATCAATAAGAGTAGGCTTCGGCCGCCACCCGGGCAAAATTCAATATTTCCAACCAACTACAAAAGTTTAATGTGTCCCGCGCGCTCATATGACATTATGCAGGTGTGAGCGCCATAAAACACTCGCCCCCCCCCCCCCCCCCCCACCCCTGAAAAAAAAATCTCCTCTCAAGACAAACCCTTCTGAACAAAATCCATATAAAGGAAGAAATACAATACTTTGGCCACTTTAAATGACACGAGACTGTTATTGTGAAAGAGGTGCTTGAAGGAAGGATGTGGGGGCAGGAGAGCCTGGGGCAGACAAAGAGTGACATGGAAGGACAACATTAAGACGTGGACTGCCCTTAGTGCTGGGCGGCGAAGTTCCCGGTTATTGAAAGCTTGGAATCGTAGGAATCGACTCCGAACCCAATTACTTACTTTCCAAAGATGGGATTTCTTCCTGTGGTTTCCTGGTAGCTCCCAACATCTTCAGGATTTAGGATAACCTTGATTTCGGAACACTACGAAGCATCATTTTGTTTTTTCAAAATAAATTCTAAAAATAAAAAAAGAAGATTTTATTGATTAGAGTAACAGGTAACGGCTGGTTTACGTAAAAAGGAGTCGGAACTTTTCTTTCGTAGCATTAGTCTTGGGAATCGGTTCCCGACTAGATTCTTCGCCCAGCTCTACTGCCCAGGGTATAGCAGAGTATACAACGACAGCTGGAGATTATTAGACTGGGGGATCATTAAAGGTCAACCTCTGAGTCAGAGATGACACTCCCAGCAATAGACGTCGAAAGCATCAGAGAGAGAATTGAGCCTCAGATCTGACCATTCATGTTGATGATGAAGAAGAATACATGGAAAAATGTTGAGTCGGTTTAATAAAGATAATTCGTGCATTGTAATACTTTATTGACATTTTCTGACTGAAAATTAATCAAGACTCCCCCTGCCTGCTCAGGGCTTCAAACAATGGTGATGAATGTACCTCCTAAAACAAAGAAAGAAAGATATAAAAGAAGTTTTTTATCATCTAGCATAAGGCTTTTGTCAGAATGAGCATAGATGTGTGTTGCTCTAAGAGTATGTATCTGGATATAACTCCAAAGGT